TGAGCACTTAAAGGGTAGTTTCCCTTTAAGAAGACTTTACTTAAAAGTTGTGAAGGCAGTCTGAATACTTATTTTGGATTTAATAATCCTGTTTTAATACTCTTTTAAATCTGAGTAAACTTGTAGAGACACTTAAATAACATACTGGAAATAATTCACAAAGTAACTGTTTCTGAATTGCTTGGTACTGGTAATTACCCTTACCTTTCCAATTTCTTAGGATAGCTGACTAAAACCTTGCCATAGACCCTTGGCCCATTTAAGACTTCTCTGGTTTAGACAAGACAGTCCAGCAGTCCTACTTCTAGATTCATTGCGTTTCCCCCCCGCCACCCTCCTGGGGGAGGGATGTAAATCTGTGACTGTTAAGCTCGGGGCCATTATTCAGCTACTCAAGTTCCTCGAGTCCCTTGGGATCTTAAATTCCATCTCATGGCTGCTGTGGCCAGGTCACTGTTAACTGTCACATACACTGATCAGCTCTTCCTTAAGAATGAGTAGCAAGTATAGCGGAGTGCCTCCCCTACTGAGGTTGTCCACCACCTCAATCCAGTTTGTCCTCCAAGCACCATAGAAATCTCCTGGGTTGATTGTGTGCTGCCAGGTTGCATTTCCATCAGATGTCATGGTAATTGATATTTTTCATGAGAGCTAAGGCCTGTGATTGTGCAGCATTTTTTTTTTTCTTGGTTTTTTTGAAGGCTTCACCTACTTAGCGTTGCTTGGGCAGTCTGTAATGGATGTTTACCATGATGTTCTCCTGGTTGAATCCTGACCCGTGGATTTTTCAGTTGTCCTGTAGCTCGTTCTATACTAGAGCTCCATTTGTTCAAATTCTTTGCATAAAGTGTAAGCCCTTTCCTCCCTGACTTTCTCACTTCTCCTTTCTTAAAAGCCAGTATCCATCCACTGCAGTTCTTAAGTTGTGTGAACTATCACACCATACTGCATACTCCCGCTGAGATTAAGTGTTCCGATTTCTAATCCCTAGTGCCTGCTTCCTGTGCTGAATGCACTCCTATACAGCTACTTAAGATGTGTCCCTGCTGATGCCACTTTTTCAGGAGGACTGCATGATCCTCACTGTTGTGTTGTCCTGTGCATTTACCCTCTACGCCATTCCACCATTTTCTAGGCTTCAGTCTCCGCTTCCCTGGCAAACCTAGTTTGAAGCTCTCCTTATGAGGCAAGCCTGTCAGCAATGGTGATTTGCGTTATCAAGTGGATCCTCTCTCTCTCAAGCACTCTCTTGTTTCTCAGAGGATCTTAATGCCTTAAGAGCTGAAGTCCTGCCTGCAGCCATGTAGTCAGATGTTGATCCACAGAGTGTATTTGCTCCTGTCAAAGTCTTTCCCCTGGATCAACACCTGGCTCAGGTATCATTCACGTTTGTCCTTGGATTCCTGTAGTTAGCTTTGATCTGCTGAAGATCTCCTTTGGCGGTATCATGATGCCCATGTAGATGGACAACATTATAATATTGCAGAGGCCAGATGAGCCTTAAGAGCTTCTCTGCAACATCCCAGATTTGGACCAAGGACAAGGAGCAGAGCTTTCAAGGCAGCCAATCTGGCTGCTGTGCAGAAGCCTTCACCCCCCTGGGAGTCTGCAATTACTGTCACTCATTGCTTCCTTTTAGTGACATTGCTGTGACCCATGTATCAGGCTTAGATGCCAAACTTCACACAACTTGTTTCTCCTCACCTCTTTCCTGGGCATTGTGCTTTTTCTGTACCCAAATAGCTACTGATGGAAAAAGAGGGCCCCCTTCCTGTTGCTGGAGGTTGCAACTTCCAGCGTCCTCTGTCCTGGGAGTCCTCATCCTAGCCTGGAGTGAGGAAAGCAATAGATTTGGTAGTGGTGGTCTTGGGGTGGGGGGGACTGTTCACAACCTTGTTCAGGAAAGCAAACTGTGGAAACCTTTAACTGGGTTGAGAGACTAGCTTTATCATAAATTTCTGTTTATGAAGACTGTTGAAGGAACCCGACTTGGATCATAAAGGTTGTCAGCTAATGAAGAAAGCTGATATTCTTTTTAAATGGAGGTACGAGAAGTAAGACAAATAAGTAACTGAAGAAATTTATTAGAGGTAAAGGGAGTCTGACACATTGGGGCATTGCAAGTTAATAGAGCCAACGGTGTTCCTTTTCAGTTTGGAGCTAAAGTGTCAGGGCTCAAGTAACAGTAGTTTTGAACGGTAGTGTGGAATCGAGGAGGTAATCAGCCACCAAGAGACACAAGAAATCCTGTAAAATTAATTTAGAGCAGAGGTTTTTTTAATTGGTGACTCTGAAGAGGTATAAGCAAAGTATATCTGTCCCTGGTCATTGCAGGGGGGTTGGACTAGATGACCTTTAAAAGTCCCTTCCAACCCAAACTATTCTATAGTATTTCTGACTGCTATTTGTAGGCTCTTCAGGTTCTGAAGAGTTCCAAGACTAGTACTACCATTTGTTTATGCATACTGTCTCATGAAGTGAAGCAGAGGGTTATTGAAATGCCTGTGTTCAGGTGCTTACATTTTATGAAACAGTGCCAGCACATATTCCTCAGCAGCAGTATTAGAAACTAAGATGTATTTTCAGAAGAATGACTTTGTGGAAAACTGCACAAAGTAGAAGTAGTACACATCTTTGTTGGGGAAAACTTCAGAATAAGGCCTAGAAAAAGATTCTTGCTATGTTGTTAGGTTGTACAAGTAAACTTGCTTTTAAAAGACAAGATCCAGTCTCCAAAGGTGAGGAAGCAAATGATCGCATTAAGGCTAAATTGTGGCTCCATGGGGAAGTTCTGGGAGGACTTGTAAGAGAAATGTCACTTCAGATGTATGGGATGGAACTAAGTTTGGTGAACTAGTAGCGGAGTGGGTTGGTGTGTCCTTTGCTCAGGAAAACAAACCCCACAGTGTGCTAATTGCCACCTTTGATACAAGCTGTGTGGAAGTCTGTTTGGAAATTGCATTCTTCATGTGCTCACATTTTTGCATAGGCAGGAGCAGGCAGTAGGGCAAGCAGATGTACATGTATAAGTACAAAAGTAAAGGCAGAGAGAAATAACACCCTCCATGCTAGGGGTGGGGGGTGGGGGAGGAGAAGGTAGGTGTGCAAAAAAACAAGGACGTTTTGGGTGCCAACTGGAATGGTAAACAAGCTTACTGTTGTTTGATTTGCAAAGTGCTAATAAATAGGAGTTAGTGTTTGTTCTTTTGGAATAAGTACAGCTGTCTCCAAGAGATACTTCACTCCATTCATGCCTTTACCCAGTGACAATAATCTGCGAGAACTGAAGTATTGGCTAGCTGCTGAGCTAAAGTGGCTTGCAGTTTATAACATTAATGATCATAATAATACACATAGTGTGTTTTGTATTTCCAGACTGATGTGTTTGGGGAATTGCTATCCTAACTTCAGAGTTCTTCATCTCTCTTGCTTTTTTTCTTGTCCATAACCCTTTGAAGCCTAAAGAACTGGGAATTTGTGCAATGCTAATATGATGTGAATTTATATTGCATTGAATCTGAGTCAGTGGATAATGCTTTAAGGTAACTTTTAGTGTATGCTTGGGCTTTGGATTTTTTGCTTTCTAGTTTTTGTAGGCTCTGTTTAAAAAGCATGTATACATATATTTGTGAGAAGACAGTGGCTTTGTCACTTAATTTGTGGGTTTGCATAGGACTATATATATTATGAAGAAAAGTGGAAAATTAAAATAGAAATAAATATATTATTAAAATTATTTACCTTTCAATTTTGTATCATTTTATTTTTAAAAAATGTGACCTGTCAAGCTGAACAGCTCCTGTGTTAAAATAGCTTCTCTTGTCTACATTAGGATTTTAATATATTATTTAATGTGCTACTTAACATATGGTACATATTTAGTCTTCCTTATACTAGTGTACATACAATCTAAACCAAAAAGTAAATGTCATTTTTGATGAAAGAGCAGTATGTTGTGTTGTCTTGGAGGGAATCACAGCTAAGGAGAAAATTTCATGATTCTAAATGTTCTTTGTTGATGGTAGTTAGTTGTTTCCTGAATATATTGGTATCTTTTATGCAGTAAGATAAAATAGTCTTGCAAAGTACTGTAAAATAGCTACATCTTTAATATAGATAGATCTCGAGTATGAAGAATGAGAACCTTCAAATGCTGCTTCGAATTATCCTCTTAGTTGAAAATAAGCTTATTATTTGGAAGGAGAAAAGAGGGGACACTTGGAAGCTGTTTCTATGGAAAATAAAACTGTTATATTGATGATGATGTAAATTCTCACCATATTTCATCAGTTGTCATGCATTTTTTTTTGTTGCTGTTTTTGGGGTGGGGTTTTTTAACCATTTGGTTTGCTCTGTGTCTCTTCTCCTTTGTTAGAATATGTGATTTTACCAAATACCTAAACAGACTAGCTGGTAAATCTGGAAAATAATTGGATTTATTTAATCCTCAATTTTAAAACGTTTTTGTGCAGATACAGAGGACTAGAGAGGACTGTTATGGTATCAGAAGCAAAATAAACTTTCTTTTTTATATTTGTAGAAATATTAGCCTACTCAGATTAATGTAATATCAGGTGGTCATAAATTCAAAGTTTCTGATTTTGAAGGTATCCCCCTCTTTTTCTTTTATTTTTTTTCCCCTCCACACATGATTCTAATTCTCAGTGTAAGAGAGACTACTTCACTTGTGTAGAGCTATGAGGCTAATCCTCCCACCTTCAAGATTCTGTGGTAGTTATTTTAAGTCTAATGAGGTTGTTGGGGCATGGCTTAATAGGCTGATTGTGTGCAGATGGCTGTTGCCTTGTCTTATTTTTATCTTCTAATTCTGTTCAATAGTACTGTAGTGGAAGGAGAAATATTTGCGTGATAAATGTAACAATTTTTGGAATTGCTCTCAGAATTTGAGAATGCTTGTTGCCAGTGTTCTCTAATTTGCTTTCTCTTCAGAAACCTGTGATTTACTGTTTTAAATGTTTCTTCTGTCTCCAGGTTTTGAAAGTATTTTAGAAGGGCTTTATGGACCAAGGCTACGAAGAGACCTCAGTTTATTTGAAGGTAAATGATCCAGCTTTTAGTGCAATGACATTAATTTATTGTTTTTCTTTTAGTAAAAGGTAGCTTAAGGTATATATTGAATTCTAAAAAGGAAATATTAAATTGTTTTTCTTTCTAATGTTTATTTCATCTTGTCCTTGTCAATACTGTGCATAGGCAAAATACTAGGTAAAATGGTACCTAGGTTTTGTTCCTATGCAGGGAAATTTTGGATTAGCTAAGCTTTCCTGAGAAGCTCTCATGAGAAAGACTTACTTCTCTGGAATACTGCATCTCCTACTGGTTTTTTGGACAGCTTTTAGAAAGGGAAGACAAGCTGCTCAGCTGCTTATCGGCATTAATTGGGAAAAGGAAGGTAATGAATGCTAGTTTAGTTTTCTTGTAGTGGTCAAGAAAGTTTAAGCTTTTTATGTAACTTTTTTTTTTACATCTTTATATATATATATAAACACTTAAGCTCTTTATTGATAGATTTTATATATATATAAAGTATAGTAAAGTGTGTGTATATATATAAAAACATATATTTTTAATTACTCTTATAAGACCTAGCCTTATTCCAGATAGGTTTGGATTTGCTGGAATAGCTGTTGATAACATCTGAGTCTTTAGTTAGTTAAGTATGAAATGATTTATCCATCTTTAACAAAAGCAGAGGAGAAAATTCCAGCACAAAATTGCTTTGAAGTGTTGAAAGAAGTGTTCTGTCAAGTTAATAATCATGGCTTTAAAAAATGCTTCTTCTGTTATTGAACCTTCAAAATGTTCCATTTCATTTCTTCACGATTTATTATCTGATAGTGTAATTTGTAAAGCAGGTAACTTATATACTGCTAGTACATGAGGTAGTGGCATATACTGTTTATGTTTGCTTAGAATAGGTTTGGAATGATTTCTTTAACTTGGCTATGGTTTTCTCCTCTTCATATTGTGCAAGTTCCTTGGACTGTATCCTATGCATAACAATATTTTCAAGGGAAAGGGGGAGAACTTGAAATACTACTTCACTTACGTTTTAAGAATATTTTTTGCCACTTGTAAAGCTAAGCATGCCACTACTCAGCCTTAAAAATATTTAAGAAATGTATAAATTCAGGTTAAAGCTTATTTTCATGAGTAGTACTCCCATCTGCTGTGATAAACAAGCACATTACTGCTTTGAAAAGGGAATGGGCACTGTTATAATAGTGAACAGTATCTTTTTTTTCTTTTCCTGGTTGTAATTCCAATGGGTTGCTATCTGTTGGGCTTTACACTTATCGGTGATCAAAGCTTTATTATTCTTTTGCATCAAAGGGCTTTATATTTTGAGAGAAAATTCAGGATGCTTTTTTTTCTTTCGTGTAAGAAGGCAGAAAGTACTGAGCTAATGACCAGAATATAATGTTACAGTTAAAGGAGCCTGATAGTACACAATAAGGTGTTGTATTGCTCCTTTAGAGTTCCTCTATGCATATATTTGAGCTGTCTTATGGGAAAAATTTTAGCTTAAAACTTTTTTTTTTTTTCCAATTTGCAACAATGTCTGTCAATAATGTGCCTGAATTTTTCAACAGTTAAAGCCTGTTTCCATGTTTGACACATCTGTAAAGTTGATTTTACTTCTGGAGCAACTGCAGAAGAGATGGAGTGCTAGGTTGGGATGCCTACCTTACTATTTTTAGTTCATTTTTATAGATATAGTATCTGTAATTTCAGTAATCCCTTTTGAAATTGCCATGTTTTACACAAACACAGTAGAGGTAGACCTTATACTATAGGATGCAAGACTATTTCGAATTTGAGATCTGAATTGCATTATCAAGATTAAAACAGTACTCTTGAGTAAAACTTGTTATAAATCTTTCCACTGTCATAATTTAAGTGCCAATAATTACCAGATAAATTATATTTACAGATAATGAAGCTAAGATATGAAGTAAATAATTTGCCTTCGTTAACAAAATATGCAGTTGGTAGAATCAAGATCAGAACCCAAGTTTTTAGATTCTTAGCAACATGCCTAAATCACTGCATCTTGTAAGGTGTCCATTTTTCTCATCATAATCACAGAACCATTACTGTCAACATGCAGCATTATGGCTCATTAGTGAGAGAGTATGTTTCCTTCAACAAACCTCAAGAAATTTTATGGCTTTCTTATCCAAAAGTGTGTGAGAATCAGCTGAAATACCTGCCACTTAGCTACAATAGCATTTTTTCCTCTCACAAACAATAGATAAAACCAATGATGTAACATAGAAAAAAAATTGTGCATAAAATGTAACTTGAACGTGCTAATAGATATATTTCCTCCTTAGTCTGCCTTGAAATAGTATTTGATATATAGATTATTGTATTGTATTCTCTCAAAGTTGCTTGAGAGAATAATAAAGTGTAATGACAAATGTAAATGGTAAAAGGTACACTTCAGTATTCCTAGGGTTTTTTTACTTTTCAAAGAAAATATCTTGTAAACCTCAGAAACAATCTTGCTGGGAAGCCAAACATTAAACTGAAATAGCTACCTATAACAACAGGTAGTTACCTGAAGATGGCAAGTTGTTTTGTTGGTTTTTTTTTTATCTTGAAATTCTTATGTGATGTATGTGTAGGACTTACCTTGGGCTTGCTTAAATGGTTCTTGTTACCTCTGTTATTCAGCACCAGATTTTTCTTTCCTGATGCTTTGATAGTGCAGCTTCTGGTTGCAAAGGTGCCAAGTTTTATATCTTGGCATCTGAGCTTGGTCATGCTCTGAACGAGCATGAGGCTTCTTGTGTCATTGAATCCTTAGGGTTTTCTAATCCTTTTCTTGTACCCATTTTCAGCTAAGTAGATTTACATGTAAATTGTTATTCTTTACATTCTACTCACCGATATTTAGCTAAACTGATAGAAAGCTTTTCCTCTAATCATCTGGTATGTGTGTATTTTCTTTTTTGGGATTATGTGCTGGGGTTCTATTCTCTTATGGACAGGAAAAAACATTGTCTTGTGGGAGAAAAGCAGCTCTCTTGTCACTCTTTCTCTACCAAGAAAAAAACCTCTTTATACAGGATGAAAGGTCTGTTTGAGGGTGTGTTTTATTTTTCCTTAGGTTATTCTGGAATATTTATTCATAGATAAAGTAATGGAGTGAAAAATTATATTAGAAACACTAGTCTCTAATATCACTCAAGTTTTTATGAAATTAAAAAGATGAAGGACATGATAAACACCTCAGATATTCTAACGTACTTACTCAGAAGCAGTAGTGCTATATAAAAAGGAAGGGGATGATTTGTTCAGAGTTGTGACAAATAGCTGGAAAATACACTGGGACGTTAAAATAATGCAGAAAATACTGGAAAGTAAGGGTTGAATTTTTTAGATTTACTAGACAATTATTTCACATTTTGAGAGGTAAACATGGCATCTGTTCAGTAGTACAGATGTCTGTATTAATTTGTTTAATTCCACATGACTCCTTAGGAAAAATGGCTTGGGGAAACAAAGATTTGAATAGCTTAGGAAATGAAAAAAGGTGGTAGTTTTTGTTCAAGATCACCATGTTATTCTTAAAAAAATGGAAATGGGTTTAACAGCTTTGTACTAAATGACTTTGGTTTCAAGTAATAATCTGTACCATGCTTAGTATTAAAATGCTTTTTGCACGGTCTTAACTTTTTCTCATGGGCTGGCTAGTTCTGTAGGTTGTCAGCAAATCTTTCATCAGCTGACCCCAAGCAGGATAAAATGGGGAGGGGAGGTGAGCATGATCCTAAATTGAATGCAGCTAAGAGAAAGTTTGTTCTGCTTAAAGTGCCATCTGTGCCTCTGATCTTTCTGAAAGTATGGTTGTCTGTCTGGAGTTAAAAACTAGTCCTGGTCGCAGTTATGTTTCTTGTGGTGGTGACGTGAGAGTGTTAGATGATTTGATATATCTGGTATATATCTGATGGCAGTTTTGCTTAGGTCGCTGGCATGCTTAATGTGTTACATTGCACACGGTTTATACTTCTTGGAATAAATTTAGTGTTTTATAGAGCTGATGTTTCTCAAGGTTTGCTTTTTTGGCGACAGACGAGGATTGCTGTCTAGTTAGATTTTTAACAGTGGAATTTCAGGATTCCTAGGCACAATAACTTCTCTGAAAATATAAAACCTGTCTTAAAGTTATGTGCAGAATCCCAACATTCATAAGCAGATTTATTGTGGTTGCAAGGAAACTATGAAAACATGAACTTGTTACGAAAGAATAGTGTGGGATTTTTTCATCTGTGGACATCTTAAAGGAATAGCTCTAAAAGTCTGGGACAGCTAGATTAATTCAGCAAAAATAACTCATTATCTCTCTGTTACTGTCCAGTCAAGAAAAATCCCATGTCTGTTTTTGATCATCAGCTGCCTAACCTGTCAAAACTGTTGGTTTGCATCCCTGGAAGCATGGAACATGTTGTTAATACAGAAGTCTGTATTGTTATTTAAATCTAGCTTACTCAGCTCTAAAATGTTAATTTAGAGCAGTTACATGTGTTGTGTTAACACTCAAGAACCTAATTTTTTCAGATTGATTTTATTTCTGGTGGTGCCTCTGTGATAATATATTTAAGAAAGTAAAAGCTCGGCAGTTTGGGTGGGTGCAAAGTGGGAAACAACTCTGCAGGTAGCAAGGGGAGAGGAGGTGCTGCAGGCACTGGAGCAGAGATTCCCCTGCAGCCCATGGAGAGGACCATGGTGAAGCAGGTAGAAGTTGCAGCCTGTGGAGGACCATGTCAGAACAGATGCCCTGAAGGAAGCTACAGCCTATGGAGAGCCCACAGAGCCCACACCTCACGCAGGACCAGGTTTTCTGGCAGGAACTGTGGGCTTGTGGAGTGGTCCCTTCACAAAGGACTGTGCCCTGTGGAAAAGGCATATGCTAGAGCTGTTCATGAAGAACTGCAGCTGTGGGAAGGACCCACACTGGAGCAGTTCATGAAGTCCTGTATCCTGTGGGAAGGACCCCATGGTGGAGCAGGGGAAAAATGTGAGGAGGAAGGAGTGGCAGAGAGGAATTGTTATGAATTGAGGACAGGCCCTGTTCCCCATCCTCCTTGAGCTGTTTGAGGGGGAAGTCGAAGAGTCAGGAATGAAGGAGTGAAGTTGAAGCCTGGGAAGAAGGGGTGGTAAGGTGGTTTTAATTTTGCCTTTCTCATTATGCAAATCTATTTTTATTGGCAATAAATGAAATTAATTTTTCCCAAGTTAAGTCTGGCTTGGCTGTGACAGTACTTGGTAAATGATCTCTCTGTCTTTTATCTTGACCCGCAAGTTTTTCCACCTTATTTTCTCCCCCTGTCTTTTTGAGGAGGGGGAGTGAGAGAATGGCTGGGAGTGAGAGAGTGGCTGGGTAGGCATTGACAGCTAGCCAAGGTCAACCTACCACAGCATGTTATTGAAAGCAGATAATCTTAAGAACTGCCCTAACAGAACTGTGATTGTCATTTAGTGATACGGAGAAAAGGATGAATAGGATGGAGAGGACCTTGGTGGTGTAGTTAATCGGATTTGTGTTCACCTGCCAAGACGTTGCAGCTGTGATAGACTTGTGCACAACTTGGATACTGTAGGAAGAATACTGCCTACAGTTTAAGGAAGTCTGGTGTAAGCGTAAAAGAAAGCCATCATCTTGAGATCTTGGTCACCTGCGTTCAGGAAACGGGTGTTCAAGAGAGAATAACACAGAAAAAGTGGGGTTGAATATCATGAGAGAAAACTGGGTGAATCAGATTAGTCTAGCAAAATGAAGTGTAGAGAGGGAATCGTGATATTCTCTGCAAATACATCAAGGTGCTAAGTATCTAACCAGTTATTGTTCATAGGTATTAGAACAATGTTGCCACAAAAGCAAACTGGAATAACTTGCCATGAGTAAATTTATACAAGAAATTAGAAGGTGAATTTTAACTATTAGCACAGTTGGTTTGGGAAAAGCTTTAAAACAATTGGTGGTTTGGGAAGAGAAGAGTATGTGGTGGAAAATTCTTAACTTTTGAAATGGAACTTATGAACTCGTTTAAATAAAATGGATGGTGTGCCTCCATCCAGTAGGAGAAGACTGGACTTTCATATAGGTCATCTGCTTAAGTCCTATATTCCTTCAAGACCAAAGTATGTCTTCTGATAAAACATATAAAGTTTTCTAAATATATCAAGTGCTACAAATGAGTATAGGGTTTTGGTTCACCTATAGTGATGGTATCAAATCAATTAAAATAGCTCAAATGGCGAGGAGTCCATGTCCTAATTCCTAGCTTAGTTTACTACAAGTTTGCACATTTCTGTTAAAAGGAACGATGACTGGAAGTCAGAGCTTTATTTACAACATTCGGATGCCTCCAGTAACTGTGATAGGTAATTGATTGAAATGTATGAGTTTACCTTTCCTTTTAAGAAAGGTGCCCTCTGCTATTTGAAAGTTGAGCTATGTGAGCCAGACAAGACTTTGGAAGTATCTGAAGAATTGAATACTACTGACTACATTGTATCAATAAACGCATTTTTGATTATGGTGGAATTTATTTAAGAGAATTGTAGGATGTGTATTTTATGCTCAAAAATCCATTTTTACTTGTTTAAAACATCTAGCTTTTTTCTTCTTTCAAGACTGTGAGCCAGAAGAGCTAACTGACTGGTCTATGGATGAGAAATGTTCCTTTTGTAATTTACACAAAGAAACAGTCAGTGTAAGTATGAACCATGATATCAAGCATGACTCCCCAACACCCAGTTTTTTTGTATGAAAGTAAGACTCGGAGAATTGATGCTGCATTTTGTCACAAGACAGTTTGGCTATGAGAGGGAGCAAGGTGATTTGGCATTATAGTAAATATCTTTTTACTTGTTCTTTTTCACTCAGTAGCTCAATAATTTGATTGATTGTATACTGTACTACCAGTAGACTAACTTCTGAAAGATGTTATAATCTTCATGTGTCTTCTAGGATCGTGCATCAGTTATCGGTTCTTCACAGTCAACGCCTACAGAGGAACTGTCATCTCAGGGACAGTCCAACACTGATAAGATTGAATGCCAAGCAGAAAACTATCTAAATGCACTCTTTCGAAAGAAAGGTAATAAAAGCATGTTTTTTACATTAAGAGATATGGCACAAATCCAGAAGATTCAAATGATTTAGGGTTGATTTTAATTCTTAAATAGTTTTTATTTATCTACTGAATGCTGGTTTTCTTTATTCCTATGGTTTTCCTTAATCCTTTTCTTTGCTTACTTGAATCACAAAATGAAGCACTACTTTTCCTACTTGCCATTGCTGTTAGACCTATTGTATTGTGTGCTATTTTCTTGAATCCCCATTCATTATATGTTTCGGGTTTTGGTTTTGGGTTTTTTGGGGTTTTGGTGTTTTGCTTTTGGTTTGTTTTTTTTAGCCATGAGCTGCTGTTTTGTTTTCATGCCAACTTCAGGTGTCATTCTCTGGTTTTTTTTTAAGACTGTTTTAGGTGAGCGAATGCGTCTTACAGATTACAAAATGGGATTTGGGATCTTCTCATACAAAAGCTGCTACTGCAAACACATCCAAGTCAGAGGTTGAATATTCTTGTCAAAATACAGTATTTAGTAACTCATTAATTCCTTGACTATTCTTGTTCTTTGGCACTCAGCAAGTTATAGCGGTACATGAGTGACTGACAAGTCAGCTTGGTTCATGTAAGTTACTTAGCTAGTCACTGTCAACCACAGCAGAAAGACTCATTTTCTTCCTTAAATTTCTGTATAAGGAATGTGAATGCAGCTCTACTCAGTAACGACAACTTTCACAGGTTTTTCTTGGGTTTAGTAGGTGTACTTGGATATCAAAATAGATGAGTATGACTAGGGTGACAGCCCTGTCTTGCTTTAACAAAGAGAGAATCGGACACATTCTCTTCTTTCACATAGGTGGGAGAAAAAAACCAGTTAATTTTCTCCCCTTTGCCTTGCTGTAACAGGAAGAGATTACTATGCCCTTGAACCTGGGGTGGGTGGAATCTTTCTTTACCGGGCATCTGTCTGTTCAGCCTATGTTTTGCTTAGAGATTGAAAGAACTTTAAATGGAGTGCAACAGCATTTTGAGTCCATCTTCATTCCTTGGCTTGCTTTAAAATCAACTATTTTCCGTTCCAAATAAAACGTCCAGTGAAGTTGCCACCTCCTTACTTCCAAAATTCTTATTATATTTTCATCACAGGCGCAGTTGCATGGCATCTCCCTAGGCAGGTATTTTAATTCTTTCAAATTTTTACTTTCTCAAAACTTTTCTTGGTCTTGATGTACAGTGTTTTTCAACATTCACCTGCTTTATGCTTCTGCTGGAAATGCTGTCTTTTGATACTCCTTAAGAGGAACTTTTATCGTGGGAGAAGTGAAACTTGGCATGACCTTACCTTGCTGGAGTGAGTGGCTTCTGTGAAGTTTTTCATCTGCCTTAGGTTTTTTTGATCTGCCATATCAGTAATGCTAGGTTAAAAAGGTTTTGTCTATTGAAAAATAAAACCAAAGTCTTTTCCGGTTATTTTTGTGATTCTCTGAAGGACTTGTGTATTGTTGGGTAAGAGGTACTTTGCTGAAGAGTTTTCTAAGAATATTGTTTCACTTCAGGTTCCCCCAAAGTCTCTTAAGTTGTTCAAATTACGGGAAGTGAAAATGAAAAAAAATTTTTGTATCTTCAAAGGGCACGTGAAACCAATTTGAGGTATTTAAGTAATTGTCTTGGCTTTGTAGAAGGAAGATGAAGAGTTTCAATAGGAAAATCCCTAGTCGTCTTTTTGAATTTTTGTAGGTTTTTGATATTAGTTAACAGCTCGGGGGAAAAGAAATCAAATAATTTTGAGTAATTGTTTAGCTAAGGAACAGTTCTTACACTTGGTACTAAAACAGATGCCCTTTCACTGTGAAAAAAATGTAGAATTCTTGGTTGGCTGTCTTTAAAATAGAAGTAACACTTGTTTCGCTTGTTTTGATTGCAAACTCCTTGAGATCATATACTGTGTCTTACTATTGTAACTAGCATAATTTCATTTAGGGCCTCTGCAAACGGCTAAGACTGGTGAGCAAATTTGAGAGTTGTGTTTATTGGTCTCATTATCCTTTTATTTTAGAACAAGTTAGTATATGGCTGAGTGTTTTAATTTGCAGACTGGTTTGGGGGTTTGTGTGTTGATTTGGTTTTTGGTTTGTTTGTGGGTTTTTTTGACATCAGGAAACTAGTTCAGAAGATCTTGAAACATGTAGCCCTGTTATCTCGTTGTTATATCATATGGCATACGACCTTCAGGCATTCACAGATGAGGATTTGTCTGTAGAATCTCAAAGATGATTCCTCTTTCTTTCAAAGAGGACAGTAGAATTACTGCCAAAATGGGTAAACTCTTGAGAGGCTGTAAGTAACAGTCTTTCTATTGTGAACCTATCCTCACTGTGTGTTTAGTGAAAGACCAGTTTGGTAGGTAGTGTCTGTAGTAAAGTCCTATCCTTGGCAGACACCTCAGTAAAGCCAAAGTAATTTTTGTCATCAAACATTGATTGTTTACATTAAACAATACATCTGAAACCCAAATGCTTTCTTCCTAAGAATCTTTACCATTTGGTGTTGTAAGCGGAGTAGACTGTGACACTTTTCCACTTACATAACATTAAAATACATCAGTTTTCTTTTGGCAAAGAAGCAGTTAAGAGGAAGAACCATGATGTGCTTTAAAAAACACGTTAGTTTTTTTGTGGTTTTTTTTGTTGTTTTTTTTTTTTTTTTTTTACTCTGAATATTATAGAGTATGGCATATGCCATCATCATTACATGGCAGAACCATAGTCGTTTAAGAGCTTGATCACACATTCTGATCATGGATTATTAATTTTCTGGGATTCTAGTGACCCACATTGTATGTTCTCAGAAGCTTTTTTTTTCCTCATACAATATTAATGTGACCTCTTTAGACAAAAACAACAAAAAAGAAAAGGAAACTTAAATACATTCATGGTTGTGAATCAGGTTCTGTCTTCAAGTCATGATCCACCAGGAGAGGATAGAAACCTGAAAAGCTTTTGTACAAACTAGGGAATTGAGGCACAAAATTAGAGGGAGAGAATGGTTAGGATTACTTCAGTCTTTCCAGATCCTCTGGGCACCTCTGAGTATCTTCCGTGTCATGTTTTCCATACCAAAATAATTTCCCTGTAAGCTTTTTGAAGTTCTTTTTTCTAGGTATGTCTCGTATTCTGAAATATTTCCATTCATAACTATGGCTCTCTTGCTCCATGCCACATACCTGCATTTAACTCTGAGTTCTCCTGTTCTTTGTGTAGTTATATCTCAGGGATACATAGATGTCATGAGCTGGTTAAGCTTCTTGGACAGCATATATATAATTTGGCAAACCTATGGAAGTGTAATCTGGCACACGTAATCTCAGGTTACAAAAAAAGTGTTACTTTCTAAGGTGTAGTTTTGAGATGTACACACTACTTGATCCAATACCTGCAGTTCCTTTTTATTAATGATTTTAAGAAATCTAATTTGTCCTTTCAAAATCTGAAAGGCTTTCTGTAAGAACTGAGAACTCAGTCAAAGCCTGTGCAGTAAACTTGTATGCCAT